AGACGAAATCCAGGTCTCCTACTCCTCCGCCATCTTTCTCCGCCCCCGACAATGGAATATTGTTTAGCCATAAGAAAGAAGGAAATTTTGCCATTTGCAACCATATGGATGGACCTTGAAGGCATTATGCTAAGTGAAATAAATCAGACAGAAAAAGACAAATACTATATGATATTGCTTACATATTGCATCTAAAAAAAACCAAACTCATAGAAACAGAGAATAGTGGTTACAAGGGGATGGGAGAAATGGGTAGATATTGGTCAAAGTGTACAAACTTCTGGTTATAAGATGAATAAGTTCTGGAAAACTAATATATAGCATGTTGATTATAGTTGATAAACTGTATCATATACTTGAAAGTTACTAAGAGAGTAGATTTTGAATGTTCCCACCATAACAAAGAAATGGCAATTATGTGACATGATGGAGCTGTTAGCTAACTCTAAGGAGTTATCATTCCAATATGTGTAAGTGTATCAAATCAATACAGTTGTATACCTTAAACTTACACAATATTACATGTCAATTATATTTCAATAAAACTGTAAAAATTGACATTAAAATAAGAAAGTAAAAAAATCATCAAGGCTAAAGATAAGGAACGCCTTCACTTGGATGTTGTGGTCCTATATTAATGCCAGTTTTTGGAACAGTCAGTGTTTACTGACTGATTTGAAATTCTTACTCTTAAATAATGATGGGAGGTAGCTCAACCAGTGGTTAATTTGAAAAAAACAACAACAACAGAGAAACTAACTTGTATTACATGCTTACTATGGACCAGGTACTGTGTCAAATAATTTCACGTCTGCCTTGATGGTAGGCAAGGATTAAGTTGAATTGAATTTTGAGTCTCTTGTGTCAAACGTATAGTTTAGTACATAGTGAGCCTTCAAAAGTGTTTGTTGAATGTTACTTCTCCTTATACACCAGGATCAAGTAAGTTTTATCCCAGAAATGGAATGATTATTCAACATTAGACTGTATTAACCATGTCTTTTATTTTGTGTTCTGATACCCTGACATCTGGGGCCTTGCTTTCCCTGGAAGGACTAAACTGCTGTAGTTAGCCAATTCCTAGAGATATTAAACAACTCACCAATAAACGTGCTTTTCAAAATGTGATTTTCAAAAGAACCAACCAATACAGAGCCCACAGGACAGCACCTCATTTACTGGGTTCTCACACTATAGACCTCTATCCCCTTATCCTAATAATTCCAGGACCAGGTACCAAACCACTACGGACAGTCCCTGTGCCCCAGAGCCTGCTGAAATTATTCAGATTAGTCAATTCTGAGCCAGTTTACCCTGCCTCACCCCTTCCTTCCTCAGAAGCCACAATAAAGCCTCTTGCTCACAGTTTCCCCTTCTTCCCCTCTGACCAGCCCCAGTGTTTTCATGTGTGGCCCACCATGGCATGGTGTGTCCCCTCCTCTTGGGAACAGTGAGTAATAAAGTGTTCAGTAAATGAAAACTATGAGCTAATATTATTATTATCAATATTACTATACATTGATATACTCCTAAATATAGCCAATATTTTATCAGAAATGAATGTTCAATGAGGATTACTTGCTATATATATTTCACTGTCAATTAGAATTTTCTAAGTGTTTTTAGATTAAGCTATCACTTATTTCATATTAGTTGCCACTAGATAAATTGTGCAGAAGACTTCAGTTTAATTCAATTGAATGGTTCTTGATTGTCTATGTTTTAAAATATAGTGTATTAACAGAAAATTTGAGATATAGTAAGGCTAACAGATCTGGAAATGATTGGCATTGAAAAGACAGCTTATTACTCACTGTAATCCTCATTGAACATTCATTTCTGATAAAATATTGGCTATATTTAGGAGTATATCAATGTATAGTAATATTGATAATAATAATATTAGCTCATAATTTTCATTTACTGAACACTTTAACATATTAACTCTCAGAACAACCATATAAAGTACACAAAGGAATTTATATTGTTCTCATTTTTATTGCTGGAGCTGTACATTTTCAGTGTGATTAAATTATTCAACCATATACAGCTTTTGGAACAAAAATAGAACTTTTAAAATTTATTTTTGTAAAATAGCCAAAAATACTAAAAGGCAACCTATGGAATGGGAGAAGATACTTGCAAATGTCTTATCAGATTAAGGGCTAGTATCCAAAATCTATAAAGAGCTTATCAAACTCAACACCCAAAAAACAAGAAATCCAGTTAAGAAATGGGCAGAAGACATGCACAGACATTTCTCCAAAGAAGACATACAAATGGCCAACAGACACATGAAAAAATGCTCACTATCACTCATCATCAGGGAAATACAAATCAAAACCACCATAAGCTGCCACCTCATACTGGTCAGAATGGCTAAAATTAACAACTCAGGAAACAACAGATGTTGGTGAGGATGCAGAGAAAAGGGAACCCTCTTACACTACTAATGTAAACCGGTACAGCCACTCTGGAAAACAGTATGGAGGTTCCTCAAAAGGTTTAAAATAGAGCTACCCTATGACCCAGCAAGTGCACTATTAGGTATTTATCCAAAGGATACAAAGTGATTCAAGGGGGCACATGCACCCCAATGTTTATAGCAGCAATGTCCACAATAGCCAAAATATGGAAAGAACCCAGATGTCCATCAACAGATGAATGGATAAAGATGTGGTATATATAGTGGAATATTACTCAGCCATCAAAAAGAATGAAATCTTACCATTTGCAGCAATGTGGAGGGAACTAAAGGGTATTATGCTCAGCGAAATGTCAGTCAGAGAAAGACAAATACCATATTATTTCACTCATATATGGAATTTAAGAAACAAAACAGATGAACATAGGGGAAGGGAAGGAAAAATAAAATAAGATAAAATCAGAGAGGGAGGCAAACCATAGAGTCTCTTAACTCTAGGAAACAAACTGGGGGTTGTTGGAGGGGAGGTAGGTGGGTGAAGGGGTAATTGGGTGATGAGCATTAAGGAGGGCATTTGATGTAATGAGAACAGGGTGTTACATGCAACTGATTAATCACTAAATTCTACCCCTGAAATTAATAATACAGTATTTTTTAACTAAATTGAACTTAAAAAATTTTTTAATTTATTTTTGTTACTTTTTGGTTACTACAATTGATTCATAAATATTACTTAAAAATATTGGGGATACAGATAAGGAATAATAATGATAGTCACCTATACTTGGAAGCCATCATGTTAACATTTAAGCTATAGCCACACATACACAAGAAGTAAAAATTGTTCTTCACAAAAAAACATTCTGAATGTCTTTCTATGTTAACAAATATTTACAAGATAACTCTTAGGGGATACTTCATAATCCATTGTATGGATATACTCTTGTTGGATTAGGTCCTTTCCAAGTTTTTGCAATAATTAGCTTCCTCTTATGTCCATCTATGAACTTAGCTTATGTCTATGAGTCAGAAGATGATATCAAGTTTGACCTCTTTTCATGGGAGAAGATATTTGCAAATGACATATCAGATAAAGGGCTAGTATCCAAAATCTATAAAGAACTCATCAAACTCAACAC